TGGTTCAAAGGTGTAAAAGAAGGCAAAGAAACCCCACCCAGGATATAATGCTTTCTGAATATAGTATCATTTTATCTTTCCTTCCCTCCAGGATGTAGATGTGATTTCATTTCTTCTGTGTGTTTCCAAGCAATCAGCCAGTTTTGTTATGGTACAGGGGAGTTTAGCACTGAAGGAAGTCAGTTTTTATGGCTGGAAGTGATTCACCAGTTGGAGCATCAGATCCGTGCTCCCATGGATGGGATTAGATGTTTAGGAATAGCGTTAAGGGCCAGTCTTTGAAGATGTTACTGTCCTAAATGGGGAGCAAGAAGGTGCAGTCAAATACGTGGAGAAAGACACATGGAATATTTGCTCCCTGTGGCACTGCAGAGGCCAGCCAGTACAAGACCATCCTGGAGTGTTTGTGACTTAAAACCGAAGTGCTGAGTCAAAATGCAGCAGAGGCATAACTGTCCTCTTAACATTTCTCATATCAGTTAAGTATCTGTCACTTCTCCATTGAAGGAACATTATTCTCAGAGTGTGAAAGATTCAGCTGGGGCTAGTTTCCAGGGAATTACACTTCAAGTGAGGATAAAGATTATTAATAAAGATTATTAATAATAAATATGTCAGGTCTCTTAGAAAGGTCTAGATGAAAACGTGGTCATTAGAAGCTGGGATGTCTTTCTCAGGAATTTTGTTTGTTTCCAGTCTGTTAATATACTTTGAGAACTTTGTCGAAATAGAGGCATCTTCAGTTATCTGGGACAGTAATAAAGGACTTCTTGATGTAATTACTTTGCAGTTCCCTGAAGCCTCTAATGAATTTTTTCACAGAGCTGTTGGGCATATTAAAAGTTGTATTTGCTGCATTCTCATTCCACGCCCAATTGCTGCTATCAGAGTAGGGTAGAGCAATTCTGCAGAGTCAAGGGAGACTGAAGGGATTTCAGTATTAAAGCAGAGCTATACTCACTGTTTAAACGGTTACCCAGTTACCTTCTTATGTGTTTTCTGTCCACTTTGCATTTGTGTCCTCTCCATGTTATTCTGGCGCTTGGCTTCTTTCTGCCTGGGTAACTAATGTTCCTCCCTGTGTT